AGGCCGACTGGGGTTCAAGGACACAGAATCAGAGTTACAAAAAGCAGCTGTAAAAGGCGGCCCCGTCCAGGAAACACACAGCCACGCAGATGAGCTCTGAGTCAGCTCCCATGTCAGGGGATGAAGAGAGCATATCCAGCCAGTCACGGTCAGAGAAACAGGACTACACTGGAAAACAGGCCGATCTCCAGCATCTATAAATAGGGGTGTTGATGGCAGCAGCACAGCTGATATTTCTCTCCAGCATGGTGTCACAACAAAACAGAAACAGATGAGGCGAAGCTACTATGAGAAAATGCAGAGAGAGCAAAACGTTAGATATAGAACTAACAGATTCTGCAGAGTGGGAGAATAGAGATAGAATGAAGCAGAATGATTAAATGGGGGTTCCTATGTCCTCCAGAAGTCTAAACCTATAGCAGCATGACTATAGAGATAGCTCAGGCTAACCTGAGCCACTCTAACTATAAGCTTTATCAAAAAGGAAAGTTTTAAGCCTAGTCTTAAAAGTAGATACGGTGTCTGCCTCAGGGTGTCTATCTACTTTAAACAACGAATTTCACAATTTTGTTTGTAAATTATTCTCTGCAGTTCAAGTAAAGTGCAATCAAATCCCATGCAAACTACACTGTGTATGAATATTAGGTAAAAGGATAAGGATTAAAAAGCTTCATTCATTATTTTATTAGTTTTTCGTACAATTGACAAAACAGATAAACAAGTCAGGTCTTCTATGAGGCTGTAGATTTTATAAAAACTCACCATGACACAAGATGGCAATTCTCTGGATGTTTCATTTGTAAAATTTGATGGAAATTAGATGAGATAAGATGAAAATTAAAATGAAATACCTCGTAACAAGTGTCCTTTTTCAATATCTATCACAGTGAATAGGTGGGAATATGGACTGGATATGAACCTGGCTTGCCCTCCTGTGTGAGCACTAAGGTTGTATTTAAAACGCAGACTGGATTTTGATAACCATGGTATTTTTTTTTATTTTTTATCATTTTTTTAGTGTGAGAAATTGGGAATATGGTGTGAGAGTGTGTGAAGACAATGAGATGAGTGAGAGCTGACAGTCCTGGTAATGTGTAGCTTCTATAGATTCCTGTACATCAGTAACAGTTTTACCTATATAAACAGATTATCATAGATTCTGTTTTAAGTTTTGTAGGTTAACAAATGAGTTTTCCTTAAAGGTTTTTTAACCTGCGTATTATGACAATTCAGGAAACGTTTCACAAATTTTCTCTAACATTTATTTCTCAAGCTTTTAATGGCATTCGAGGTAACTAAACATTGACTATCATATTTTGATCTGGACTTTACATAATAAATAAGGATTCTACAGGGTTCTTGTGTGTGTAAATAAATGAAACCAGATAAATATTTTTTACAGACTGATAGTTTCTAGAAGTTTATAGTGCAAATACTGAAACTACCTCAGGATAGATTCCCTTAAGGGTTTCCAGGGATTATGAAAACTCTAGCTGCAGACAGAAGGACAATTTGCTTAGTGAGAATTGTAACTCAATAAAACCCTAACATATTTCCAATTACAAAAAGAATGAAGCCTGATAGTAGGTCCCTTTTGAATGATCTGATAAGATGCAAAAAAATTATGGTCAGAAAGTTGAAAAATCTAAAACAATATTCATATGTCATATGTAATTGATAAAATAATAAAATAAGGTAATGAACTGGAAATATTGAAATCAATAACAATCTGGGACAGCTTTCCTTTGTATAGATATTTCAATTTTAGTCTATTTGTTTGGATAGTCTTTACAAATGATCAGAGATACCCACTAGGCCAGGCTTCATTTACCTGGCAAATATAATTTTGTTAAACTAAATTCCAACAATGCAAAGTGTAAGTTACATTCAAAGAACTGTGTAACACTCCTCCTACAACATCTTCACTGGCTCCATAAATCAGCATCACCACTTAAAGAACCTCCTTTGCATAGAGCTATCATTAATCTTGTAAAGTAGACTAATATTCATTTTATTAAAAGTGATCAAATGTATTTTTGTTATATATTGTTATGATCATTAAAATATTTTGAAAAATATATCCAAGCTCAAAATAATTGTAAAACTATACGTTTTTAATCTACATGGATTGTTGCACCCCATATTGTCCAATTGTTCATGTCATGCATCCATATATTTTTGTTAGGAGTGGAACAGCAGTATGGAGGACCAACTCTGCCATATTTATTAAACCCTCTAAGACAGCGGTCCCCAACCACCGGGCCGTGGACCGGTACCGGTCGCGGTCGGTAGGTTATTTGGTA